TGTTTAGTGCTGCTTTTGAAAATGCAACTAGTGTTCCTAACGTCGAGATCTTTCTCGCGTTGTAAGATGGGACACACTCACAAATAGCAGTTGACCTCACCCGCCCCACTCGGCCACACACAATTTATTGAATCACGATTCCAATGCGTCCCGGGCCTCTGATTCGAGTTGCTAAGAGCCAACAGCATCGTTGGGATGGTCGCTACCGCAGGAATACCTTCTTTGCTGTGAACTAGAAACACAATTACTTCTTGGGTATTCAGCCCAGGTATGATGCTTCCGTGCCCACATTTTTTAGCATTCCGACACGCAGGCCCCAAACTGAAGCATGCTTAGTCCTGTTCCGCGCTGCAGGTGTAGCGAGGCGGGGACCTCAAAGTCATGTTCATGTGATTATAGCAATGGAAACAACGTCGTTACGGGTTTCTTTCTGTGCACACTCATGTGCACATATTCTTAGCACATTGCGTAAAAGCACCGATTCCCTTCTCCTGATACAAATTTCGCAAGTGTCTGAGTTTCCATGCCGCCGAATCGTCCCCGTTGACGCCATGATATCACGATAAAGATGCCACTTAATAACCGCTGTTACGTATGCTATTGTTTCCATCACGTTGTGTCCATTCTTAAAATGTTCGCTTCCTATTTGCTCTCCGTTAAATTGAAACAGATGATGCGAAGTCGGAGCATGGGCTGGCGTGAAAGTGCCCCATTGATCAAAATTGACCTGAATCGTAGCTTTTGGCCGCCCATGCAGCTATACCAAAATCGTTGGCCCGGGGCAGGGTACAAACACAGAGGACAGGCTGGGGTGCATGTTAGCTTCACTACCGGACGATTGGTGAGCGGAAGCAGCGGCCGACCCTGTCCGCCGCCCAGACGCGAGAGGGCGCGCTGGCCACCGCCCCGCCGGTGCCCTTTGAAAGCCGTGTTTGAGCAGGTGGCCGTAGCGCGGCCACCGCCGCGACAGAGCTCACAATGGAGCCGCCGCTGCTCCCCTCGTCCCCCCCCCCCCCCGCCCCCCGCCCCCCGCCCCGGCACGGCGTGACGGGACTCCAGCCGCCGCTCGTGCCGGCCGCACGACTGTCCGAACGAGCGGCCCAGCCGCGTTCTGCGAGCGATGGCTGCCTGCACCCTTTGGATTAAGATTTCGCTGGCGTTATCACACCCACCTAAAGCAGGAGCGTGCGACGCGTCTTTCCGTCCAATCATAATGCCTTTAAATGAACTTGAAAAAGCTAGAGCTTCATCATGCCTGCATACAGCGCTTCCAAAGATCAGCAGAGAAGCTGATCGGGCCCAAGATGGAAAGACACGTTAAAACAATGACCCGCGTGAAATCCTGCGACTTGTATACGAAGCGTGAATGCCGGTGTCATGCTCATGGTGGCTCTGCTCAGTGAATACACGATTGGACGGCTTCATGCCATTTTATTGATCAAACTTGGCACATAATTTTATCTCGCATCCTACTGGCTTCATGACCCTGGAATTCTGATGCGCGGCATCTTCACAGCACAATGCCCAAAGGTCCGTATGGCAGTTGGCTGGCGTGCTGGTGGGGCAGCCGGTCAGATCAGCGCTCCCCGCGCCCAGCAGTGGCTGCCGAGCGCGCCCAGCCGTGGCTGCCGAGCACACGTGTTATCCTCCCTCAGTTGCGCCGGCGACAAATACGCGGTGTCACAAGCGCAGCAGTACTGACGCCCGTCGCTGAGCCAAGTCACCGATGCGACAGCGCGGTGCGCCAAACGGGGACGTTGGTCACCGATAGGGCAGCACGGTACGCCAGACGGGGGACGGTGGTAACCGATGCGACAGCGCGGTACGCCAGACGGAGAACAGAGGCTAGTGCCACGCCAGTCGCGGCTCGGAGATTTGCAGAGCCGAGGTCAAACTGGTAAACCACTATTGGGTTCACCTAGATGACAGTGCGCGCCCAAGACAGTACAGCCACACGCGCGTGCCTCCATACGGTCCGGACCACATGGTTCAGAGTAACACGTGCCATGATTCAGAAGTGTTGCCTGTGTCAAACAACGATATTGCGGAAGGCGTTTATTTTGGTACCTTACCAATAAAGCCTCACTGTCATATGCTCAGTATAGCCCTTCGTGCATTTTACCTGACAGAGCTGCCAAAAATTTTGAGCTCGCAGCCTAGTCATCAAGCGTGGTGTTTCATGCTCGATTTCAATACGCCGATGCTTACGTAATCACGAAATTTATCGATCCGCGGTTAATTGGTCGTAGGGCTTACCACGGATGGCAAGCGCCTTAATTTTGGCAGATGATAGGCACCTGTTGTCGGTACTCCCAAGGGCACCATGTTCCACGAAACCCGGCCTCTTCAATATTCCGAAACCTGATCGTGTGGCAAGTCCAGCCAAGCAGCGACTGCATTCCTCTCTAAAAGAAATGGCAGCTCCGCCAATTACGCCGCTGCGGCAACATGCGATCAGACGTCGAATGCTGATGTTTTAAGAATCCGTGTGTGAATTCATCTGAGAAAGTAAAAAAAACTAAAACACCCGAGTCATGATGAATATATCCAAAATTCCGTAAGTTCCTGAGCGTCCTTAAACTTCTCTCCTCATATGAATGATCGGTACTGAACAACTTAACAAGTCGATTGTTTCCTCGAACGCAGTTAGGGTTCCTTCAGTTCATGAGATGGTGAACAGTTCTTTTTAGCTTCGTAAACGCAAGACATGGAGCGCTGACATATACTGACATGGAATGCAACACATGGAATGTTGAGATTCTAATGAGATTCTGTTCATATGAGCTTCTCAAACAGTGATGGAACGTTGGACAACTGCCAAGTGAAAGCTGTCGGCGGTATTTTTAGAATCATTGCTGACTTATTCTTTAGAACAACCGGCTGAGAACGGGCCATAATTGCGTCTAGAATGTTGAAATACAAGCTCCGCGGAACCATTTCAGCCATTTGACTGATGAATGAGCCAGCCAGTTGTTGTGCCACTTAAAATGCACAGATTGCCTCCTCCAATCGGGACTCTACATTAAACCACAGCCGGCCAATGGGAGAGTCTGCCACACACACCAACAGCGACTAGGCCCGGCGGAGTGACGTCACACGACAAACGAGGCCGAGAACACCTCCCGACGCACGCAACACGCCAGTGGTCCGCTCGCGCCCCTGTCCAACAACAGCCGCCCCACGCCTCACTACAGCTATACACCGTTTGGCAGATGGCTGATTGCACTGAAAGACACGAGCGGCCGGGCTGCCCCGCCTGTGGCGAACCGAATAAGTAGGAAAGAAGTATATGTGCTTAGTGGGCACAAGCCAGGTCATCAAAGGTCATGCAATTGAGTTAACCCTCGCACTGACGGGATTCCTCGTCAGACTAGAACTGACGGCGGAGCTGACACCTGTCCCCCCCCCACACACACACGCACTCTGCCGTCTCATAACAGAATGGACATAGAGATAAATTATGCATAACTGAATAGCTTATTAGATAATGAACCAGGTTTGCTCAGGCTGGATATTCATTTCATGTCTAGGTCATGTCAGGTCATCAATATTTGTGTCCGCTTGTACGCAGTTGGCTTACAACTCGTCTGACGTCTTAATATGTTAGCAAGTGGTCGGTATCGTGAGGCAGAATACTGTGTTCGACCCACGATTTTGCTATCAGCGTTTCATTCAGGTCGACCAGTTGTCCAAGCAGTTGTATTTCAGGGACGGCCAAGTTCATTGACTAATGACGCCCGTTTGTAGTAAAATGTCACGTGCGAATCAGCAACCAACAGCCTGGATACGGATGCAAAGGAGCAAACCTTCCCGTAGAGCGCATATTCTAAAAGTTATAAGCTATGTGTCGACTTGGGACTTAATGATGGTAAATACCTTTCTCATGTGTGTTATAGGGAAGGAATGAGTGATTATGGAGTAAGTGATTCTCTTGGTATATGTTGCGAAGGTGGAATAAGCGATTATGGAATAAGTGATACACGTTACGTATGCCTATGGTGATGTGGTGCCTTCACATATCTGAAAAAATCGAAACATATTCATGTTGACAACTTCATGTTTGTTATCTGCTGCTAATAAATAACTATTTTATCAGCAATGCTTCATTTGCACTCCTTAAGAATAATGTGTATAGCAGATAATTCTTGGATCGCTTGGTATGCTCCCAGCATGAAAGCTTAATTTACCATTTTGCTAGTGTGCTCTGTACAAGAAGCATTGCCCAAAGAAACAGTTTGTACGTTTTTGTCATGTTCCAATGGCTTGGACCTAAACGAGACGCGGTGCGCGTTTGATAACATTTTTAGACAGCTGGCTCTCATAAGGTGGCATACGGTTGCGGTGTACATTACGCGTTGATCAGTAAAAATAAGTAAGAGATTCATATTTACGTGGGAGCTTGCTTCAACCCTTCGGTGCAATTATGTGACCACTTTCCATTTAAATACGTTCTTTACTTTACATTTTGAAAGTTAAGTTCTGACCATGGCAGTCTGCAAGTCCATTTTTTTTCGAAGTACCTCTAGAACTCATCTAGATCACTGACCTGACATGACAAAGACCCTACACTTATGTTTTTAAAAAATGAATCTGAGATAATGTGCGAACAGTGTAAGGGCGTTAACGCAAGCCGTTCTGCAGCTACTCTGAAGAATATCGGAGGAGGAATGCGTGCCACTCTCATACACCTCCTCCCCTCATCCCCCCCCCCCCCCTTCTCCCCTCCCCGTCAGTGCGAGGGCTAATAACACGTTCGATTATGACGACTATTTACAAAAGGAGACTAGATCGTTAGCCTCTCGTCGCAGTCTTGGACCGCACAGAGGCTGCCGGCTGGGCTCCGGTCGGCGGGCGGGCGGGCAGCGCGGCCGCGCTGCTGCTGGAGCGGGCGGGCCGCCGGCGGCCTCCCCTCCGCGGGCTGATCGCCGCCGCCGCCGCCGCCGCCGCCGCCGCCGCCAGTCCGTCGGCGCGTCGGCGCGTCACCGCCCGGCAGTGCGTTTGATAATGTGTAATATCACAGGCGCGGGTCGCGCCGCGTTCACATGCAGCCGCACTCCTCCACCACCATCTTAGGCAGGTCGCGCTTGATGATGTTCTTGTCGGCGTCGAAGTAGAGCAGCGACATGGGCGACAGCTTCGTGGGCGCGCAGCACGGATTGAAGCCGTCGAGGCCGTGACCGCCTGTCACGACCCGGTAACCCTCGATCACGTGCGTGTGGAAGTTGCGGAAAGTGTCGGGCGTGCGGCTGGCGCAGTTTCCCAGGCAGTAGTTGGCGTAGTAGCCGCTGGGGAAGAGGATCCAGTCGTCCCAGCCGAGCTCCTGGAAGCTGACGTAGAGCCGCTGGCGGCAGCAGTGGGTGACGCGCGCGCCACAGTCGAGCGCGGCGCGCCGCACCCGACGCGCCGGAACCGCCGCCGTCCGGATCTTAATGAAAGGAACACTAGACGAGTCTCTGCCCTGCTGAAAGAACTTGCTTTTTACTAACGATTTGCATCCATTGCAGTCGACTAATAGTCTCAGTGGCCGGTCGGGACTGAGGTCGAACCAGTCCTGAACGGCCTTCTTCAGGTTGAACCGGTGCCACCCCACGTCCTCCAGACGGACGCGGCGCTTGGCCACTAGCTGGGGACGGCCGCGGTTTGCCTGAGGACGGATGCAGGACGTCAGTCAAGTCATGGTGACAACCCGAGGCAGGGCTCCGTCGGGGCAGGGCCGCGCCCTTGGAACAGTGTCAATCGAAGCAAGTCTTTCGAGAGCGTGGAGGCGGCGTTGAAGCATAGTTACGGCACTGGGGGGAGGGGGGAGGGGGGGGGGATGGGGCCCCACCACGAGGGATGACTCAGTTTGGACACGGTCAACACACGGGGAAAGGATCAGTCGGCACAGGAGATCGGCACTGCTTGAGGAAGGGAGAAACCGGGTCAGGGTCAAGACGAATGGGAAGAATCGGTCGGCACAGATCGCTAAGTTTCGGAAGAAGTTATCGATCGTGTGCGATGAGAAACTATGGACTTGAGGAAACATACCAATAGCGTTTCGGAGATTACCGTTAATAAGTATTAAGGTTAGATCTCCTGGGAGATAATCCCATACATCATGCAAACTTTGGAACCTTCAGTCACACGCCATATTTCGATCCATTTTCATCGTGCATGATCCTCATGATGAAATCGCCACTTTCTTGACCAAAAATCCTTCATAAGACTGTGACGTAAGTACAAAGCCTTATCATCCTAAGTAGGCATCAGCGAGTTCATGTGATAATCACTAGGAGTAGCCCATATTTTTAGTACGTTTTTGACCATATTCGTGGTGATATAGTTGCCGAATAGCAGATTACTGACCATGCGGGAAGCTCCACTAAAGACGCCATTTTTGCTGTCAGTAAGACTTCTCCAAGCCACCACGATGCTAAGACAACAGAGGCGTGCTGCCGCCGACGCCGAGGGGCACGCGCTGTTCATAACGGCTCGCGCGCTGCATGACGTCCGCACCTAATTCCAAGTCTCTTATCCGGGATTTACATCTAGATGGGCGGTAGCGGGGGGATCAGAGCTGCGATCTTCACCGAGGGCGCATACCGAGGATAGCCCACCGCGGCGTGGGGTCTGCCCTCACTGGCTCGGCTCAAGCCTTCCGAGCCGGCGTCGTCTCAGTCTGGCCACAATCCCTGCACGATCCGCCCGTCCTCCGGCTGCACACGCCGCTGATCCGCGTCGCCGCCGGCTGTGCGGGGCTCCGCCCGGCTGAGGCGGCGGCCTCCCCCGCCGTGGTGGCTGGGGTCGGGCCGGCGCCGCCCCGGTCCGCGCGCATCTCGCCCCGGACGTCGAGCGTCGGTGGTCAGACGACTGGCGCCGCCCGACTCAGCCGCAGCCGCCGCCGGCCCGGCCGCCCCGGTGGCGCTGTTTGTTTTCGAACGCCAGCGGCGGGCGGACGCGTGACCCTCCAGCGGGCTGGCCGGCGGCGGCCTGCCGGCGAGTGACGGTCGGCCGGCCCCACGGACGGGCCGCCGCCGGCAGACGGCCGCCGGCATTTGAGCCGCGCGACGCCAGCTGTCCTCTGGCATTTGGCCCCGCGACAGCCCCAGGCGCTGACATTTCCTCCCCGGGCCGCGGCGACCGACCAGCCTTTGGCGTTGACGCGGTCGACTTTGGCGACAATACTGCGCGGTCTGGACGCGCCCGACCTCCCCGTTGCTGGGGAAAACGCTTCAAGCATGAACTATCGGGGGCTCTCGCAGCTGGCGTCTGAATGGCGTGCTCCGAGGTTCCGTCGGATAATTGCATTTCATAATTGTATTTCGTCCATACCACCCGTTGGTTATGGCTCGTTTTGAGGCAGGAAGGAGAGGGAAGCGTGACCTTTGGACAACGCGAAGGGAAATGTGGGAGATCAGTAATGCTCACGTTGTCACAAAGATAGGGGGTCCACAGTAGCAACGCCTCTCCAATCAATAAGTTAGCCAAGTGAGATGCAAATCACAATCAAACCTCTCGATGACATTCTTTAGTTAGTATCTTCAGTGTTAATTGTCTATGGGACCGAGACATGCGGAGGGAGCAGCACCATGTCGAGGACCGGGACAACCGGACGGACTCACTGCTGACATGTAAAGCGAGTAGGACCATGCCGGGGACCAGGACAACCGGAGAGGCTCACTGCTGACATGGAAAGCGAGTGGGACCATGCCGGGAACCAGGACAACCGGAGAGGCTCACTGCTGACATGGAAAGCGAGTGGGACCATGCCGAGGACCAGGACAACCGGAGAGGCTCACTGCTGACATGGAAAGCGAGCGGGACCATGGCGGGGACCGGGACAACCGGAGAGACTCACTGCTGACATGTAAAGCGAGCGGGCGGGACCATGCCGAGGACCAGGACAACCGGAGAGGTTCACTGCTGACATGGAAAGCGAGTGGGCGGGACCATATATGGAAAGCGAGTGGGCGGGACCATATCGGGGACCGGGACAACCGGAGAGGCTCACTGCTGACAAGGAAAGCGAGTGGGACCATGGCGGGGACCGGGACAACCGGAGAGACTCACTGCTGACATGTAAAGCGAGTGGGCGGGATCATATCGGGGCCTGGGGCAACGGGAGAGACTCACTGCTGACATGTAAAGCGAGTGGGACCATGGCGGGGACCGGGACAACCAGAGAGACTCACTGCTGACAGGTAAAGCGAGTGGCCGGGTCCATGCCAAGGACCGCGACAACCGTCGGAACTCACCGCTGCGCTGCGTTCGCCCTTCTCCAGTACCCTGAACACGTACAGGGTGACCTTGTGACGGCGCCGACGCATGTGCTGCAGGTTGCGCCGGATGTCCTGCCGCAGCGTCATCTCTACCCAGAGGAAGGAGGAGCGCACGCGCAGCTTCTCCACCTGAGTCTCATTGCCGCGGTAGAAGTCCATCAGCCGGCTGCTGTTGTAGCGCGATCCTGCCGGGGCGAAGGCGGCGTCAGCTGATGAGAGAGGCGTCAGCTGATGTGGGCCGCATCAGCTGATGCGAGCGGCGTCAGCTGACGTGCGCCGCGTCAGCTGACTCGGATGACTCCTCCCTGTGCCACTGGCCGAGGGGCGACCAACGACCCGAACGAATCGCTAACAGTGCACACGGGAGCGTGGTGGGCGGCAAAGACGACACCGCAGTCTCGAACCATCATGTGGCTAGAACCGTGCCCAGCGGGCTTAACGACGCACATAGATCTCGAGAAGTAAGCCGCATTGGTCGACACAACCATGTACGCCCTCAGAGACCGAAACGCTGCCAGCATCTGGAATGGCGCAGAGCTCCGGATGTGACGTAGTCGATTCATTGCGGTGGTCTTACTGCACGTGGGAGATACAATTATAACCGCGCCATTCTGGCAGGCCGTCGGTCTTTATGTGTTACATCCGAAATAGCAAGTCCGACCAGAGTGCCGTGGCCTTTGGCTTGTTATTACATTCAGCCGAATACCACTTTTCGATGAGCGGAATCAAATAACTGTCTAGTCTCCGGATGTCCTTCCTGCGCAAAGGTCATATGCTATCAATGCTATGCTACATGCCATATGCCATATGCTATCAACTGCAGCCATTCGTAGACCACTGCTGTGCTTGTCCCGTAATAATCAGCGGACACCGCAATTTGGTATCTCGAAAAGCCCAGCGGGTTGATGCATTAACCAAGGTGGTGATGTTGGCAATGTGCTTGTGTATGCTTTGGACTTGGGGATGAGTCAGCAAACAACGAAGCTGCGTTTCGTAGCACCGGAGCTGTGAGTTCAGTCGCCTGGTATCTTACACGCGAGACCGGGCAGCCTAGCTGCGCGAGACATGGGGTTCCTGTTAACCAGCAAAGGCGGGGTAAAATCCACATCTCTTGGACGGTGACAGCAGCGGCCTGCCCTGGCCATGGCCCTGCGGCGGTCCTGTGTGGCAGGTGATGTAAGGTGTCGGAGCGATGCTCGGTCTCACTCTTGCACAGCTATGTTCTTTGCTCACTTGCTCTTATTTCCTCCTTCTCCTAAGTCGCAGGTGCAAACGGGCCGATCTCCAACCGCATAACGAGCTAGATCTGCTGTAGGTCCAGAGCCGATGTACGTGGAATCGCTGCCGCTCAAACTCACGCTGGCATTCAGGCTAATCTGCGCCCAAATGAACGTGGGCCGGGCTGTCTAGGTAAACAGAGCCTGCTGACCAGCGGCCAGGGGCGTGCGCTATCTGTCGGCAGACGCTCGGTCTGCGGCGTGACGTCGCCGGCAAGGTGCGACGGACGGCCGCCGCCCGATAACCTTCAGAGCGTCGGGCGGAAATAGCCCAGATGGGCCGATTGAGTGGGGACACGCCCCCGCCATCGCTCCGGCCAGTCAGCCGTGCGCACCTTATCTTGGCGCTAACGCCCCGGCGTCCGGCGCGCCACGCTATATTTAGCGGGTGGCCAATCTGGCGCGCGCTTGTTGGGCACCTGGTTGGCTCGGCCATTCAGCACCCCTTCGCCGGGCGGCAAGAACTGCAAATGGCCGGGTTAGCGTCCCCTCGCTCGGCGCCGGCCGCCCCTCGGCGTCGGCAGGGGGAGTCGGGCCCGCTCCGCCCCTGTCCAATTCATTTCGCCGCTCCCATTGTTCGCAAGGCACACTGAAAGCAGGGTGAACTTATTAAAATCTGAAGTTTGCATTTTCCACGGCCGGCTCGGGGCCCGTCCCGTTCATCGCTCCGCTGTGATCGTTGGCTCGGGAATACTAATTGGCTGCAGTGTCGGCGGCGGCGGTGGCGGCGGCGGCGGCGGCGGGGGGAGCGCCGCAGTCGCGTCCGCGAGCTTCTAAACAATCTGTGCCGCTGAAGGCCGCACTCACATCCAATTCGGGTT